CAGGTATTGAACTTTCCAATGAATTCTCGATTAAGATACCACTCATGGTCCGAAACGTCACTGGAATTGGATCATCCGAGCTGTCCAGCAATTTATTGCACAAAGTCTGAAAATTTTGCAATGAGATTGAAAAAGTTAAAAATCAAAAAAGAAATTTTTTTCATAGTAACAGAAACTGCAGAAATTTCTTTGCAGAATAACTGTTATTTTTGTGCTTTTTGAGCAATTCACGTGGAAAATGCCGTCAATAATTTTACCATCAGCTGATCTGCTGTTGGCAAAACGAGAAATGATAAAAATTGGAGCGACAAAATAAGATTGCTGCATAAATGAAATGACAAAATTGCTATATTTTATCAAAAACACAATAGTTTTTGTAGACGCTAACCTGTAGTTGAGCTGCTGTTGTCGAAAGCGGTAACACAATCGCAGCCTCACTCAGTTCCTTGCCTTCTTCCGAGAAAAATCGCACACCAACAGCACATGCATTTCGTTCAACGTTGCCCAAATCCATATCTTATAAAATCTATTAAATGCGAAAAATCTCTTCTGATCTCGTGCAGGAAGCTGGCACCGTACTGCGACCCTCCAACAATTATTTGCTCCATTCGTGGATAAACAAACCCGCGCACAATTCTCTATTTCAATTTTGACAAAAAAGCTGGTACAAGTGTGTCTAGCACATTAAGAAACAATGAATTGCGGTCGTTAGAAGGGCGAATCATAATCTTAAAATAAGTGGACGGTTCAAAGAAAATTCAGAATGTGAAACGGTGGGAGTCAGAATGTTAAAACGAAGGGTGGAGATAGTTTATTAAAACAAACTTGTTAAACAATTAAAGAGCCCAGCTGTTATTTCCCCGCTCTCTAAGTAACTCTCGCAGAAAAAACTGTCGATAATTTTGCAGGCTATGTCACGGATATGCTATCATTCGACCTACTCCCGAATGTCTTTGTTCCGTCTAGACATTGAAATATTGAAGCAATTTCCAATCTAAAATGCAGTAATTATTGAAATAACTTGCTTTAAGCTGAAATAAAACTGGCTGGGAAAAATACGCGAGGCGGTAAATATTCATTTGTAAGAGAAACATGCATAACAAAACAAGAAACAAAAAAAAATGTAATCATTCCTCCATATCATCTTCTTCTAGCTTCGCCTTAGCCCATGTTTCTGCTTGCTTTACGATCTGCAACGCATACTTAGTTTTATTCTTAAATAACATCCTCTTTCACAAATTTCATACTCTACTACAATTTTTTATGATTCTTGTCTAGCCATCAAGAAAAAGCAGCTCATTTAAGGCGGAACAATTAAACGTATACAGCGAAAGTAGTGTGAATTCACTTACACGCTCAATGGAGCGACGAGGGAGCAGAAAATTCAGAATCATGAAAAATGGAAGCGCTGACTGATACAGTGATGCTGAGGCAACACATAATGGCAAAATAGCTAGCAAAATAACACCAAACATCCTGCCTTCCCAGTAAGAGTCAGTGCCCTTAACAGGTTACCAAATCCATGAAGGAAACTCGCTCCGCAAACAATCATTAAGCCAAAGTCGAGAATTCCCTCACCCTCGGTTACGACTGCCTAGAATATGACAATGAAATGAGATCAGTTCCTCGCCATACTAGGCATGTCAATATTAATTTATCACCAAAATCTGCTAGGTGAACTGGAAGGCTGATTTTTTTACTGACGAAAAGCTAACTTCGTATGCGGAGCCGCTCATCTTGAATTTAATCCAACTTATCATACTACTTAAATCATGATAAATTAAATCATGGTTTCACACCTATTACACAACGTACAGTGAACTATGACTGTAAGCTTATGGAAAAATATTCTTTTCAAAAACAATAAATTTAGCAGAGCGCACGAAAATCTGTGTTTTGTGGCACTGTTGTAACAAAAAAGTGCACAAAAAACTCACATCCCTAGGCACACTTTGGTGCTTTCCATCGGTGTTTTTACCAACCCATCCCATTTCCACTTGCATATTTTTATCTTTTGCTTCATCTCGCACCGTCAAAATTATTCGCACTGCTTCTGGAAAAAATAAAAATAAAGGAGTGTGCGGTGTATTTTAAAACATATCTAACTTTTAAATATTTCATCAAACTGAAACACTTTCAGCAAAAAAATAACTTAATAAAGCCTATGACTGCATCTAGCACTTGACGAATGCATCAAAGCGACAAACCTATAAAATGCACAGCTAGAAAATCAAACTGTGTGCATATCCCGAAAGATTTCAGCGATGCATGGTGTCATAATAAAAATCCTTGTGCCTTCTGCATTTCGCTAAATTTCGATTGAAAACCGTTTACACATACCTTTAACGAGCTGCTCCATTGGCATTTCATCAAATTTCAGCTTTTCAATTTCTGTTTTGGCCGCTTGTCGATGCTTGCCAATTGCCCATGCTTTGTATTCGTAACACAGGCCTGACGGTTCCAGCAGAAATAACTGTGAGCCAGTCTAAAAGTGAGAAAGCCGGCTTAATGAACGAAGAAAAAAAACAGAGAAAGCCAGGAAAAACGTGCGGAAAAGTGCAATTTTTGACGAGAAAATTGTTAACTCGGGGACTAGAAAAGCCGGGAAACCCAAATTTTAAGGGGAAATTCCCTGCCCAAGTAAAACTTAAACTTTTCAAATTCAATTCCAAAGCATGTCTGGTTCTCACACAAATATTTTGGCAGGAAAATCTCTGACTTGGGAACCGCTAAGCTAGGAAGCTGAAATATCAATTGATTTTTAACGGACTATATGCTGCTCATTTTGATTTGTGTGCTCAATTTCGCAGTTTTTTACAAAACTTTTTTTTTATGCGTTTTTTGCAGTTATGCAATGCAAAAAACGCATATTGACGAGAGGTTGTCTGTG